GTCAGAGAAGGAGTCTTCACTCAAGAGAGAGTAAATTATTTGATTTGACAAATAAGCCTAGAAATAAGGTACTCATCCCTAATAGAATTTGAAACCAGAAAGAAAAGAAACTAAGATGAAGAAACAGAGTATCAGGGGTGTCATCCTTTTATATTCAGAGATAAAGACTGGCCATTAGGGTTTTGGGGGGTGAGCTATTGTAAATAATTAAATATTTATCTACTTTCACTTGTTTCAAATGGGGATGTAGCTCAGATGGTAGAGCGCTCGCTTAGCATGCGAGAGGTACGGGGATCGATACCCCGCATCTCCATTATTTGCCTATTTTTTTATTTGTCAAAATCTATTCTCTGTTTTTATTACCAACACAAGTAATGGGAACCACACATAAATCTGTTACCCTTTTTAGAAGCTGCTGTTATTCTCTGTTGGCTGCAGTAGCATCATCTCTTCATATAGAAACCTTTTTAAAAAAAAAAATTAAGTGAACTAGATCATTACTGCATTTGTCACAACAGGTGAAACCTTTTCACCATGATTAGTATCGGTTCTTATAGTTATTTGGAACTATGTGCCAAGAAGAATCTGACTCCTCTTCAGTGGTCCTTCATCTTTATCTTCATCTTTATATATATTTTTTCAAACATACAAACTTATCACTGATAACATCAAAAAGTCTAGTTTTGTAAAAATAGCATTCAAACACGCATAACTAAACACGCAACTTGAAAATATAGAGAGATGATCACAACACAAGATCCATGATAATCAAAAGATTACGTGTATGCGAACTTTATAAAAACAAAGAAGTAAAGTAGGCTTTGAGGTTTTCATTAGGATGGCCAAATCCATCACCCTCCTTGTAGAACAATTTGATCACACGTGCAGTATTGAAGACTCGCACTAGAATCTGACGTGGTACATTAGAGGATGATGCTTCTTTAAAGAACTCTTCCATCATTATCTCATGTTGATCCTTAATCATCTTCTTCAATTCTATAACCGCTTCTTCTTGACTGACACCATGCTGCTTCATGTAACAGTTGACTCCATTTGCCACCTCTCCTCTCTCCAACTCTTCCTCAAACGTAGCTATGTCGTTAACCAGACGAAACACAACATTGAAAGATAAGATGACTTTTGGTCTAGAGGCAAACCACTCGTACATTATCTTCCATCCCTAGAAAGCTGTAGACTACCACGTCATCCATTGCACCTGAGACGATTCCAACATCCATGTACTCCTCAAAGCTTGGCACGTGACCTGCGCGTGCCCATTTTGCTATCTCTAGATACCCTTCCTTGGTCAGACTCTTTATCTATGTTTTTTTTTCCAATATAAATACACCATACTGTTTTTATATATTATACACACCGTACCATACTGTTTTCTTTAATTAATATCACTTACGTACCTCATCTATAGTCGGTTGCACACCGCCAGGTCTTCCTAGCGAACTCATTTCATGTTCGATGTCTTTCAAAGTTTCCCACAAATTACGGAAGATAATTTGCATATAGCTTGGTAGATCTTCAATGTCTCCAATATTCCACCTTAGGACATGTTTATTGCAATGTTCTTAAGATGAGGTTCTTAACATAATATAAAAACCGTTTCTTAACTTTCACTAAGAAAAATTAAAAATTATTTTTAAAATTTTTTATTTAAGAACCGGTTCTTAACCAAAAAAATAAAAAAATATCAAATCATGAATTAAGAACCCCATTCTAAGAACCTCTAATAAACATGTCCTAACCATTAGCTCTATATATGGCTCGATGACTATCTAGAGAGAGCTTAGATAACAGTAAAAATGATTAGGGCATCTGCATTGGTGAGTTTCTCACCATAGTCTTTTACCAATTTATATCAATATCTAAATTGAAGAATCTCTTTAAAAATTTGAGAAACTAATGCTAGATTCTATCATTCACATGAGTTAATTTCCTAATTAAATATTAATATAATTGGTGAGAAATTTTTATGAGAGATTCACCAATGCGAATAATCGTATACCTTTGCAAAGCATCAGTGAAACTTATAACTTCCGGAAGTGTGCCATAAGCATCATATATGTCATCAACAACCGACATGATCATGGAAATTTTAGTGCCTCTAATTCTTGCAAGGGAATATCTTGGCTCGAAATATATACCCATCATCCCAAAATACATCTCCACAGTTCTGTCCCGAAAACTAAAAGGTAGTTTAGATGCAAGATCCAGCTCCTTCCACCATCTACAATAAGCAAAAAAAAAAATCACATGAAATCTTGATCATGATCCCGATATAACAAAAAAAAAATTGAGAAATGGCTACAATGATGTGTTACTTAGTGAGAGCTTTGAGCTCTTTTGCGTAATGCAGCTGGCAATATCTTAAATTAAGTTTGGCAAACTTAAGCAGCTTCTCCTCGTGGTCTTCTTCATGTTCGTAAAAAGAGATGTATTCCCTTGCAACTACTATTTCCGTGCAATGATATCGAGGTATGTACAATGCGTTTTGTATATGCTTAGAGAGATGTGGATGAGTACTAGTAGTCACCGCCTCCAAGTAATTCCTAGTGAAACTTTGCGCTTCCTCCATTATATCCTCATCTTTTGTTTTGAGAAAGGAGGCTTGATACAACTGCAAAATTCCTCGAACGTCTCCAATTAGATCTTCCCTGAACTTTCCATCATGTTCCCCTCTGAATCTTTTGAACACGTCTATAATGAAACCGAAATATATAGCCAAAATAAGTATCCATAGATGTGATTCAAGGAAATGGATATAACCGTGCTTTGATCCCTTCCTTAACTTCTTAGATTTAAAAATTAATTAAAGTTTGAAATAACTGATTTAAGGTCTAGCATTCTCACACAATTAGTGGGAGTTTTTTCAAGATTCTCATCACAAAACAATTGATAAAAAATGAGAAAAAATAAAAGTAATTATACAGATATAGAAACGAGAGAGGAGAAATGAATTTTTTTCGTATGATATAGAGGTTGATTTGTAAGTGATGTAGATGCTTTGGACAGCCATTTTTTATTTCTAGAATATTTTTCTAAAACAATCAAGCTTTACCTTTGAAAATTAAAGTTACAACAAAAAATTTAGAAAATGAAAAGTTTTAACTTTTAAATTCAAATTTTCTTCAGCTTTTATTTAGTACTTTGAAAATAAATCTATAGTAAAACAATCAAAACTAAAACAATAAAATCTACAGTTTATTTTATAAAGCAAGAAAATTAAAGGTATAGCACCAACCATTCAACAACCCCTATAGCCACTCTTATTTTTTAGAGACTGAATAAATTAATTCAAAATAATACTAAATGAAATAATCATACTTTTGCAGAGTTTTTAAACAATTAACGAAAAATAGAAAAAAGAAGTCAAAAGAGAGATAGAGAAGATTAGGAGAAATATAACAAAAAAATGCAAGATACCATAAACATATGTCCTCTTTTATTAGTCTAGCCCTTTTTATCTTTTAAAAGATAGCTTTTTATTAACTTTTATATTAAATTTATCATTACTAATTAAGTTTTGAGATACTGAAATGGGTTTCTCATTCATTGTTGATGATGCTCTTACCGCAAGACATTTTGTGACCATATAACCTGAAAACCTCAAACATAGTAGAGATTGTTTCCAGATCATATTCCTCGGCAATTAAGCCTTCTAACTTCCCAAAAGACTTGTTTAGAATCTCTTCAATTAATCCTCTTCGAAATTATGTGAGATCCCTAGACTGATAAGCAAGTGAATGAGAGGAATCTTCTCCTTGTCACAGGTGTAGGGAGACATGAGCATGTCTCGCACGTATGGCTTCATAACCGATTCAATATCATGTTCAATTGCATCGAACTCCTACAAAGATATACTCCCTCCGTTTTAATTTAGTTGTCATTCTAAGTTTTTTCACATAGATTAAGAAAACAATTAATTTTACTTATTTTCAAAATAAAAACACAATTATCTATACACCTAACCACTTTTCAACCAATAAATTCAAAATAAAAACACAATTACCTATAAAACGACACTTATTTTGAAACGAAAATTTTACACTAGAATGACATTTAATCTGAAACGGAGGGAGTAATAATAAGACATGCACAATGTCAAACATAGTTTAGTTATCATATCTCATTTACTTACAGAACCGTCAAGGGGGACAGAGAAGACGTGATCTCCTAGCAAAGTGGGAGTAAACTGAGCCAAGGGACGAGTACTCTCAAGATCACCACTAGTAGCCGTTACATAGAACGAATCTTGTTTTGTATGTTTTCGAGAAAGAGTTTGGTTCTGAAGCAAACGGCGAGGAAAAAGAGAAAGCTTAGTTATATGACAAAGAGGGTCTTTGTGATAGTTAGAGAGAGTTCTAGGACCAACACTCATCATCATTCCTGATGTTTGCATTTTTTGACATCACTTTCACATCCTTAGTTCACTTTAAATAGAACTGAGATCTAGTGGAGAGGTTAAAGCATCTCTAATGGGGGTTCTTACGGTAAGGATTTTAGCGAAATATAAAAACCCGTCTTTTAACTTTTAACTAAAAAAGTTAAAAATTGGTTCTTAAAAACCGCTTTTAAATTTTTTTAGTTAAAAATTAAGAGACAGATTCTCATATTCCGCTAAGAATTCTGCCATAAAAAATTCACCGAAGGATATTTTTTTTGTTCAACGCGCTAAGCATTATTTTAATAAAGGCAATTAAACTGCTACGTTTTAAGGAAGCTTATAATCAGTTTCCTTTTTGATATTATATATATAAATATCTCTCAGATAATAATTCTGACAAATGATTGTACCACTAATTTGTTCTTTTTATAAATTAATGAAAGTATTCACATCTAACGGTTCTATTTACTTGATTAATGTTTATACATGATTATTCTATATATTAAATATGCTAAAAATGATTATTCTGTTTGCAACATGCAAAATCCTATGTTTGTTACTTCCATGATCCAACAAAAAATTTAGTTGAGTTGAAAGATAAGGTAAGCGATTTAAGAAAAAGTTAGTTTACAAAACATAAATAGAATTGTCAGATGTGTATTGTTTTATTTTCCAACATTGGGTTGACACTGAACTCGTGACTTAGAGTAATCAGGTAGATCTATGATCCATTAATAGATTGTCTGTTCGTTTTTTTTTTTAAGATTCTTTCTGTATATATTTCCTCTGTTTTTGAAATAGTGTCATTTTACATTTTTTTTTGCATAACAAAACATGTCATTTTAAAATTTCAATATATCAAGGTCAATATTAATTACAAACTTATTGATTTTTATAAATAATTTTTTTTATCTCAAATACTATTGATTGAATAGCATGGGTATAGTTAATAAGAAAATAAATACATTTCAATTATTTTTTTAATCTTCAGGTGTGAATGAATCATGTACTTTTTCTGCGTCTACATTCTACACTTAACCATCCAACAAATTTATGAAGAACTCATTCTCTCTCTCTCTCTTCTTATTTACACTTAACTTGAATGGTGAATCATTCTATACCACCATGGAGTAGTACTATCATGGAAATTTCTGAATATATTTTATTAAATTCGGGAAAGTATCAGAAGATCATGAATTGCGAGTTTATTATGCTCTCCCATTCACACACTAGCTTCCTTCCCATGTGCAAACCTTATTATGTCAACATTATTTATTAAAATCATGGTATTATGAATTTAAATCACATAATATATAAAACGAAAATACAACTTGAAATACGATACATTGAGATGATCATGTTCACCTTTACAGCATGTAGGAAATTGTATGACTATGAGTTTGATGTACTAGCAGAGCCGGCCTTGAACAGAAGCAGGTCAAGCACATGTTTCCGACCGCCAAATATTAAGTATAAATTCAGGCTGAATTTATTTTGTCAAAACTTCCTTTAACCTATTTGGTAATTGCACCCTTATTAGCTTGATGAGGTCATGACGTCGAGCCTACTCGGCCACATATCTTTTTTGGCTTCTAGCCCATATAATTCTAAGACCGGCTCTGTGTATTAGCTGATCATTGAAATACAAATCTGTTAACAACGTTTGTATTTCAATGATTAGAGGAGTCATATTTTACTGATTAATGAGGGTTCGTATTTTAGCTAGACATTAGTCTATATTATTAAAAATGAAATATAAATAAGAAATATCTCTTAGTTTTTCTCAAAAATTACAATCTTATGCCATTGGATTAAAATACCGTAGTTTTATTCTTTTTTTAATAAAACCTACAATTAATATATATATATAGTTTTATCGCGAGCAAATCTAGATTATATTCTATTAAATGGCTCTCAAACCCATCCAATTGGATAAAAAGAAGATTATTTAATTAAATGTAAATTATATCAAGCTTTTCGTCAAAAAAAGAAACTATATCAAGCTTCATTAAAATTGATAGTTGGCTGACGTGGATTTGATTACTAAAAAAACGAAACATATGGACAATTTTAGTCACCAGGCAAAGCAGTGTGAGATAATCGAACTAAATGAAAGAGCAAAATCAAGACTATTAAACTTAGGGTTTGTGCCTCCCTGCATAAGGAAAGCTTGACCAAAGAAAGACCATATCATCAGAGAGATAGGACTCGACTCATTCCATCCTAGTTTTCATCGATCTTATTGTTCTCTATCTTCATTTCATCTCTTATTCTTGTGAAAGTTAGTCCTTAATAATATCAGAGATTTTCTTGGTCGCTTTCTGTTATTCTTGAAGCAATTGAAGCGAATCTTTAAAGATAAAAGGGGTTTGTTTGAATTTTTTTTTCCAGATTTTTTCATTATTTTTCCTAAGGAAGTTACCACCTTGACTTTTGTATGCACAGCTGATCTTGTCTTTCAATCTCGTTCTTATTATCAAGAAACAGTTTCTTGGTTTCTGATTTGGATCCAAGTGAGTTCCCTTTTTTTCATTCTCCAAAAGAAACTAAGTTTCTCTTTCTTATAAGACTGTTCAGATATAGGGTTTCATACGGATTCACTAACCATGGCAGGAAGATGGTGAGAGGGAAGATCGAGATCAAGAGAATTGAGAACCTAACGAGCAGGCAAGTAACGTTCTCCAAGCGTAGGAAAGGTCTCTTAAAGAAGGCTCATGAGCTTTCAGTTCTATGCGATGCTCAAGTCGCGGCTATTGTCTTTTCTCAGAAAGGCAAATTATACGATTACGCTAGCTCCGAGTAAGTAACCTAACATTGATACAACTTTCAATCCAATTAATACACATTTATACATATTTACAATCTGCTCTTTAGTTTACATAAATGAATCTATTGTTCTTGCTTTTACTTTGCTAGTTTATTTATGTATCTCACTAGAGATTTCTAGCCAATTGCAGCTATTGAGTTTTTAATCTTTCAACAAAATATGCCTTCTTAAAGTTTTTTGTTTTTGTCATTTATTACTAGTACAACGAAATTTATTCACCAATTGTTTTTTTGTTAAATTAATTTAAGTTCTTCTTCAAGCACGAGCAATCAATTTAGGGCTTTCCAAAGAAATGTTCTTGAACTTTGAACCTAGTATGCCTTGAAACTGATGCTGAAACCACTTGACATGTTTATAATTATATTGTAACATCCTAGTGTTCATGCCATACTGTTAGAGTACAACTGGACCAATTTAAAAATCCTCCATGATGTATGAGGGAAGACCTTTTGGCTTTTTGCTAGGGTCTCAAGCTCTAGTGTTCGTGATTCTCAAATGTGTTGTATCTTTAATAGCCAATAGGTGAGTGAATTTCTTAAACCAAACACAAATTTAAATGAATATCAAACCCAAACATAGATCATAATCATGTGAAACCATATATTAATAGTCACTTGGTGAACTGTACTAATCATCTATTCCCATTAGTTTGTTAGCAAGTTACCAATATCTAAACGAGTGGGTTTTGATAATTAACCAACCAAAGCTTTTGGAATAAGAGTTTATGTTTCATTCACAATTTCGAGTTTACCAAGTTTGACCATTTAAAGAACATCGTTGGTAGGCGTGTGCATCCTAGCTTATAGTAATGCTTTTGCTATTGAGTTTGTATAAGGGTCTTGGTCAATAGTAGGTCATGCTTATAAGTATCATTGGTTAATATAGATAGGAAACCAAGCTACACAAATTAAAAGACATATGTTACTAGCACAATGATATATATATATATATATATATATATATATATATATATGTATATGTTCAGCTATCTCTTTTGGTTGTGATAAAGATCCACAATGGAAAATATGTAAGGGACTTAGGTAATATATAAGGGACTTGTGTCAATTCACTTATCACCAATTGGTTTTAAATTGGAAGCCCATAATAAACCCGAATTTATCATGGTATCAGAACATGCTCATACTCTGACCCATTAATCCAGCCCAGAAAGTGACATGATTAACCTATTAGCTGATGGCCCAAAGAAGTCTTAGTTCTATTCAGATTGCTAAAAAAAAGTATTGTCTCGGTAGGGGTAGGATGGATTATGTGAGATTAATGGTTAGACCCACCATTATCTACAGGGAGGGTGTTGGGATAAAAAAAATCAGTTCTATTGAGATTGCTAGAAAAAAAAAATTGTCTCGATAGGGGTATGATGGATTCTGCGAGATTAATGGTTAGATCTACCATTATCTCTCTAAGGAGGGTGTTGGGATAAAGAAGAAATTAGTTCTATTGAGATTGCTAGAAAAAAAAACATTGTCTTAGTAGGGGGAATGATGGATATCTGCGAGATTAATGGTTAGAAGAAATTTATCACTTCTCCTTCAGTAGGTGGAAGGACATATCGAAAACCTTACAATGTAAACATTATCATCCTTCGGATATCGTTCACAGTTTTAACTATACTATTCCCGAGAGAGGCCGTGTCTACAACGTGTATCTAATTTAGGCTCAGAAAATATGCATACAATCCATGAATCTTGCATATGTGTGAATGTTCTTGTTGGTCATGATAACATTATCAGAAAATAATAATTGTAGCCTTAGAAATAATATAGTGATGATTGATGAAGCGATCTTGAAAATGAATTCAGCATGCAGAAGATGGTGGAACGATGTGAGTCACATAGAAGCGAATATTTTCATTCAGAGAGACTCCAAAAAGAGCAACATGTGCAGGATCTCAAGAATGAAATCACGATTATGGTGAACTCGATTGAACTTCTTCAAAGTCATTGCCGGTTAGTTTCTGATATTTCCACATACATTGCATATATATAATGCAATAGGTGAATCTATATACACTCATGAAGTCGATAATATGCATCTTAGGAGGCTAATGGGGCAAGATTTAGATTCTTGTTCGATGGAGGAGCTCAAAGAGATAACTATACAAATTGAGAAAAGCCTCACTATTGTTAGATCAAGGAAGGTAACCTTAATAAATACATAAATAAATAGTACTTATGTGTTTGTTATATTGTGTTGAGGATTTGTCTAGTTATACATATGTTCTATGAGACGTTCTAAATGATTAGCTCTTGAACCAGCATGTGCAACTGCTTATTCCGGATTCTACGATTTTGACAGGCTAATTTAAATGAAGATGAGGTGGGGAGATTAAAAGCAGAGGTGATTTTACTTTATTATTTTAGGTGTTACTTTAGGGGCATATAATGTATAATCTTCATTGTGATTTTTGGGTTTGATCTCATTAGGTTGCAGGAAAGAGAGAGCTGTTTAACGACAGAACCAGGCTACACGAAATGGTATACACACCCACATATATACAATCCAAGGACATATATGCATGTAGTGTTTCATAGAGAAGTTTCTTTTGTTGATAATGTTTTATTCCGGTCTGATTATCGAGATCATTTCTAGTCTGAATAATAGAATGACTTTTTCAATTACTTAGTGCTTTGTCTCTTTATTCTTCAATTAACAAAACATCATTTAGCGAGGCATTATGGTGGATTAACTTTTGACATCCATGAATTTAGTCTCATGAAAAAATCTTGTGGTGGATTAAAAGTGCTTTGACTGAAATCAAACTTGAGGAAATCTGAAAATGGTCCGTCAAAAACTAGCATTTCACGAACGTTTTGTTTGTTTTCTCAAATTATTGAGTTTTTATGTTTTGTATCATTTCAGTTTGAAGAAAAGCCCTTGTGGATGCAGTCAAGGAACATAGAGAGTGAGAAGAATGCAGCTTCCTCTGCTTGTGAAAACATGAACATATCCAATGTTGAAACTGATTTGTTCTTAGGATTGCCTAGAAGCCGAGTGTAATGATTTCTTCGTATTCTAATCAAACGGGTTCTTATTTTCATATTTTCATGTATAGTCGATATTCTATATGCGTAAAACTAAGATTAAAGTTATGTATAAGTATCATGTGTTATCTACTAAATATTTTTTTTTTCTTTCTTCTCTGTAGAGCTTCATATTTCATTTTGCTCCTTCTGTGATGTTAATGGCATGGTTTTATATGTCTAACTAGTGCTTTTATTTCATAACACTACTTTGGGCTTTTCATCTCCCACATAAAAATCTTTATCTTAAGATCCCTACTAGATTTTGATCCGCGCTTGAAAAGCGCGGAAATTTTTTATGATTAAAATTTATGTAATTGGGTTTTGTCTTAATTTAAAGAATATTTTGATATAAAATCAGTTCACCAAAATTTATGGTGATGATTGTTTTTCATTAGTTTTTAGTTTCACTTTTTTTATTTTTAGATTTTGGTTTTTAGTTTTTAATTTTCTACTTTTCATTTTCAGTTTTTGGTTTGAGTTTTTAATTTTTAAACTCGCTGGTTAGTTTGAACTGATATTACCAACAAACAAATCTCAAATAATCGAACATCTAATTTAAAACTGAAAAGATGACAACAAATTTGAATAAAAAAAATTGAAATAGTTTATTTTGTAAATAAACAAAGCAAAAAAAATATAACATGTGTTTTCAGCTTTTGGTTTTGGATTTTAGTTTTTAGATTTGGTTTTTGGTTTTGCTTTACATTTTTTTTAATCAGTAAATTATTTAAGAAAAATAAAACAATAAATTATTTAAAAGTTACAATTGAAATTTATCAAAACAAAGTGATTGTTATTTAAAATAAAAAAATATATTAACATGTTTTAAAGTACATGATTTAAATAAATGATTAATAATAGATAATTTTGTTTTGTTAAAAATATTAAATTCCTTTGGGTCTGAAAATAATAACTGATTTTTTTGATCTTTTAAGGTGAAAAGTTTATTCAATGTTTTTTGGAGTTTTTTTCTTAATACTAAGTCCAAAAAACAAACTATATAATTTGTTTAAACATAAAAGTAAACCCAAAACTATATTACATAAATAACCACTGGTTTAATTTAAGTATAATTAGTAGATTTCCATATTCCATATTTTGATGATATATATTCTTTTAGAAAATTCTATATTTGTAGGAGAAAATATGTGTTTTTGGTATACATATAGATATCTGCTGTATTTTGAAAGTAGTTTACATTAAGGTCGTCTTTTTAGATTAATTGTATTGATTTAATTTAAGTAATACAGTTCAATCAATTATATGACTTATATTATTTATAACATTCTAGAAAGGTACAAATTTAAATGACAACTTGTATCGGTAGATAAAAAGAATGACTCTATTTTAATAGAGTAGATGATAGGCGGGATGAGCTTTGCATATACAAATTATTTTACGTATTATTATTATTTTGCTACTTTTACATATTATAAAATAAAATAAATATATATATATTGAATAATTATGAAATGGTAAATATTTTAATTTAAACGTTATTAAAAAAAAAATATATATATATATATATATATGTATGTAATAGATATTCTCATTTAATAGAAAGTCAACTTAAATGTATATATATAAGTTGAATATCTATTAAATGAGATTTTCTACCATATGGTTTTATAATAACTTTTATCATACTATAAAAAAATTAAACAACTAATCACACAATTTTAAATCTAAGATTTTTAACGGTTTTAGTAATTTATAGTTGCTTTCAAAATACAATATATATGGAAATAATTATTTTTTTAGATGATTAACTGTGATTGTATAATTTATTTAAATAATATAAAATTAAAAAATGAATAAAAAATACATAAATTTTTCTCAAAAGTTTATTATTCAAAATCATTAGCTGTCACTTCCACAAAAATGGTCAAAAATATTTTAATCATATTAGGTAATAATTTGGTAACTTTTTATTTAAGAAAACAAAAATAATTAATTACTACATTAATCAGTTGGACTAAATAATCAGTAATACATATTTAGTGTCCACTCATTTTGAATATAATTTTGTACATTTTTTTTTTCTTCACTCTCTGGAGCTATAAAAATATCTCGACACAAATCATAAAGTAACATATTCAAACAAACATTTCTCGCAGCAAAAGCAATCAATAAAAAAAAAAAAAAATTCTCTAATTTTTGTAATTCCTTGTTTCTTTTTCCTTTCATGATGTCTCACACTAGGAGAATTTCTGCACCAAATGCAGCAGGATCAGCTGGGTCTGGGTCTCGTTGTTCTTTGACTGCTGTTGAAGAAGCTGCTTTATGTCTTGTTGCAATATCTAAGGGAGAGAGGCCAGTGAATTCTGAGAACTGGAATTCTATTGATCGTTTGCTAGCGACTCCATATGGTAAACGTAAATATTACCAAACAGATTTTGATTCTGATTCTGATGATGATAAAGCTGTCAAATATAAGTCTATGGCTGAGCTTCTCACTTCAAACGTTGAAACCCCAACACACAACAATGATGAAGCATATTTAGTTGCGAGAGAGAATAAGGGTAAGAAAAAAATTGAGTGTGATGCATGTGGAAAAGTATTGGGTTCGTATCAGGCATTAGGTGGTCATCGATCGAACCAGAAGTGCAAACGGTTGAAGATTTGCCACAAGAAGGATCAAGACGGACGTCACGAATGTGATGTCTGCGGCAGAGTATTTGAATCTGGGCAAGCACTTGGTGGTCACATGAAGGCTCATCTCATCTAATCAGGTTCGGTTATGCTTGGTTAGCCGACTTCAAGCGAGTGAAATAGATCCTATGAAGTGTGCATGGAGTTTGGGTGATTAACTGAGATGGATGACCAAAAAAAAAAAGAATTATGCTGTTTATGTTTTTATTTTGCTTAAATTTGGACTTTAAGTTTATGTTGTTGCTACCTTTTTAGTTTATTTTCTCTGTTTAATAAATAAGACTTTGGTTAAAGTTTGTGTTTTGTTTTCATTGTCTATACCCTTTTAAGTTTATTTTCATCCAATAATCAAAGTTTGGTTATAGTTTATGTGTGTGTGTGTCATAAAATTGCTTATCCAGAATATACTTATCTTTCAGTTTTATTTTCTACACAATCTTACCAAAAAATAAAAAATAAATGTAGATGTAGTGATTTGATGGTGTATATAGAGACTATTCGTAATTCATACTGTATTAGTCAAAAGACTCAAAATAACAAGACTAAACACTAATGGTATATATTATTAAGGTTTATTTCCATTTTTATATATTTAATATATCTATATACGTGTCAATTTACAAAGTAGTCAGAATTTATGTTTTTGTTTGACTAAGTGAAGCATATCTAGTTATCTATTGGTTACTACGAATATTAATATAGTAAATTAAAATAGCATAATAAAAATAAATAGTGATAGGACTAAGAATATAGGTTAAAATGGAAATATCTTTAATGTCAAAGAACTGGAGATATCTTTAATGTCAAAGAAATGGAAATATCTTTAAACGAAACGTAGCTTAATTGTTTCTTTACATTTTTTTTTTTTTTGAAAAAGGTTTCAAAGAAGTTGGAGTTCACATGGATGTGTTTCAAAAATATCTTGGGAAAATTTATGTGATAAAGTCCCATTAGACTAATGTGCACCAAAAACCCAAATTTGTCTTTCTAAAATACAATTATAAATTAAAAATGTAATTATATTTAGATATTATACTAAAATAAACTAAGATAAATTACAATAAACCCATCAATTATCGCCAAATCAGTTTTTCCCAAACCCCTAATCTAATTATCTCCGTCTCTCTCTCCCTTTCTCTCTTGGTGCAAAGACAGTTTCTCTCTCACGGTGAGTGCTCTTCTTCCCCGGCCTAAGTAGTGTGTAATCTGGCTTACATCGTTTCCATGCAGATTACTCTAGTGGCTTATGTGACGGAGGAAGTTGATTGGGGACACTGTTGTTGATGGTCGCAGTGAGGATGCAAGTGACTCGGGAAAAGAATACATGACTGTTCTTCTTTGCAAACACATGGTATGTTATATAAAGTTTATACTACTCAAGCTCTTTTGTGTTGTGAGTTATGAAATTTGGTTTATGTGTGTAACAGTGTATGTGTGGTGAAATACGCTTAAGGAACTAAGGTTTCAGACAAATTTGTGTTCAATTTGCAGACAACCTGTAGAGAGACTTTTGAAGCTTCCCGCTAAAACGGTAACAGCAATGGTAGAAATTGAGATGGAGTTGACAAAAATTTTAGTTAAGCAAAATCAACTTGTGTTTTGTAACAATTATGCAACATTATGATCTTATATATTCATCAGATCATTCAATATAATATTTCTTCTCTTAAGATGACATTTAAGTTCTTAAAGATCAATCATAAACAAACACGCAGTGAAAGCCATTACGACAAACCACAAAATAAGACATACTGAGAAAAAGATCAAAGACAAAGGAAAATTGAGTTACGATGGTGTCCAGTTTTTCCACAGTTGATAAATAAAACACTCCTCTAGTTCTCAGAGATTGAAGTATGTTGATGCAGTCTGGTTTGTGGTTCCATGAAATCTATGTAAGGTCTATTAGTCTAAACAAATTGACAGTTTCTAACCACAAGGTGGTGGACTAGTGGTAGGTGAGCTTTGGGATTTGCTTAGCAATCCGGATTCGAAAGCATCCCACTACATCTTACCTTGTGGTCACGCAGATATGAGCCTATCTTACAGCCCATATGAATATCTGGAGTGAGGGTTCATTCGTGGACTGTACCACCCCTTTGAGAATTAGTCTGGGCTTCTCCATGGACCTGAGATACCCCAAGGTTAAAAAAAAAAAAATTGACAGTCTCTAAGTTACATACAGCTGAGAGTTTGCAAAAATAAGGAGCAGAAAAATATAGTCCTCTTGAACACGGTGATGAACGCATCCAAGTAGGTTACATTCACTAATCTCAGACTTGCTTAAACAACAACTTTTTTTCTTATTGTTGTCCGTGATTGAACTAGTTTTATACGGTATTATGTATGGCTGTAAAAAGATGTCTACACCACGACACATTGACAAAAAAGATTTAAGCGTCTGTAAATGCTAAGGAATCGTATATAACTTAAATAAGAACAAAAATCAAAACCCAAATCTATGCTTATAGTAAAAAGAGAAACGGTGGAACATTCACTGAACCTACAAATGTAAAGACAAGACATGATTGAAGAGTTTATCATCATTTAAACACAAAAGGATCCGGTAGATTATACATACTACTATATGTAGAAACAAGAACCCATGTTTGAATTCTGTTTTTACAGATATTAGATTCTGATCGTTTGTAGATTATGTCTTATACAAATTGTAGATTGATATGTTAACCGCAAAATGTACATTCAATAAGTAGATTATTTGTTCTAATTGAGGTAGATTCAATAACACGTGAATTTCAATTTCCACTAAAGCAATTTTCAAAGAATGTAAATTCTGCTGTCCTTTGAAGAATTTTTTCTTAAACATTTTTAGAACCTAAAAAGATACCTCTATATTGATATATGTATTTTTTCAATATATAGTTCATATTTTTTCTAATTCTTTTTATTTGTAAAGCTATTTCTATTGGTTTATTTGATAAATATAAAGGGCACTAAAAAGTTATACAAAATTAGTTTTATCATATTGGAATAATGTATGTGTTTTTTTTTGTCTAAAAAACATTTTCCCCTAATATCTTTTGTAAATTGACTACGGTGAAATCGAACGGGCGATAATGCGTAAATAATACTCACATATTGGACAGTCACTCTCATCAGCCCGATGAGCTTGGTTGATCCTCTTCAAAACAAAATTCGAAACATTTCGCTCATGTAACTAAGGGAAGCATACTAGCAAAGGCAAGAGTACACTCACATATACTCTCTAACACTCTTCAAAAAGTTATACAGTTACATAAAAAGTCAGCAAATACAAAATCTATATATATATATATTTTTTTTTCACAAAGAGATATATATATATCAACAAACACACCCCAACTCTTGACCACAAACATCTTCAAAACTAGCATCACTAACATCACCAAGAACGATCACATTATCTCCTATCGTTTTCCTCTTCGGATTTACCTCTTGAAGAAACATCCACACATTTATGATTGCCAATTGATCTGTTGGCTTTCTCTTTGTAATGCTGTACATAACAATGCAATTCTCAACATTTGTTTCATCTCTTCTCTTATGAGACTACAACACCTACCCATCCTTTTGTCTAGAACTTCTTCTACATCTTCTTTTGTCTTAAGCTTTGATCTAAATCCAATCCACAATTCAGCTTTGACCTTCTCCCCAGTTCCGGTTCGACGGATCTATTTTCGGTGATGATTTCTAATAACATAACTTTATAACTGTAGATATCATCACTCCTTTTATCCAGTTGTAATTTGTATGCATACTCTATAACCAAAACAAAAACTAGAGTCAGAAGTTGTCAAAACTCCTTTGGAATATGTCTGAAAAGGTTTCCTTAAATTAATTTCTGATAGTCGCACAATTATTGTTTTGGCCAACAAACACTAATCAGTTTACAAAAACACACATCTGAAAACATTTAATTTACATGGTCATGCTTTAATTTTATCATGTGTTGTAGGCTAGGCACAATAATGCTTTAGCTTGAAGTTATGATCACATTTAAAGTGACAATAATGCATGATCAGTAAGCTATATTTTAAACCTTTGATTCTGTAAATGATGTAAATCTCAATACACCAGTAAAATGCTACATTCAGATATTTATTAGGATAAGAGAAAACCCTTTATGAGAAAAGAAAAAAATTTCTAAAAGGAAAAAATATCATATATAAATACGGATCTAACGGATAGTAAATTATTCATCCACATAATCTATATACAATTCCTCAAATTGGTATTTATCTCAATCATGTTTTCTCTCCAATCTTTTTTTTGTTTTCTTTGTGTTCGATTCACGTTTGTTTGTTTAGGAACTATTTCAAAGTTGTTGTGCAGATTATGGAGACAAACACTTGTAACAATAAAAAGACACAAAGAGTAGAAAAGAAAAGGAACAATAATAATAAAAGTTTCCACAAGAGGTGTCTTTTCCCAGTGAGTCCTAGACAACATCAACTCATTTTCCCAGCGTAAAATTTTGACATGTGTAACAAAATTCTCGTTCTTTTACATAACAACATGGTGGCATTCCAATGACCGTGGCTCCAAGCACATTTGCCCTTTGACACAACAGAGACTCGACTTTACCAGCTGCAGCAAGAACAAGGATTGTGTGCCCACGTTTGGAGTATTATTCTGTATTATTGTTTCTTTAAACATAAGTCTGTTCCCCATTGGCCAATTCAGCTTCTCCTGATTTGTCTGAACTGATCAGACAAAGAGACTCACGGATTTGTTTTTTTTCTTTCCAGTAAACAACAGAACATATATATGAACGTAGTTGACTTTCTGAAGTTATTATAATTTAAAGAAAAATTGTGTATAACACGAGCACATAAATTCAGGGGGGTTCCTGGGTATATCCTCTACGATTCTATACGACTACATCTCTTGTTGTTGCAAGTTTTTTCCATTAATAAAGCAATGATAAATAGTCATAAATTATAGTAAGCAAGAAAAGACGTGACAATACGGACGTGAATGTCATGTAGACAACTAAATGTTATCCTTAATCTCAATATCTAATCGATAAACTCAAATTATGTCCGTAAATCAATCTCACAGAGAATCAAATCTTTATTGAAATAATGATGAATTGAGTAATAAAATTTAATCGCCTATTTTTTCAATTTATAAGAAAATTTAAACTAATATAAAATAATATAAGTAGTTGACTTTTTGTTAAAAATATTGCTATTATACATAATTTTACTAAAATATTAATGAAATTTTTGACTTTTGTTACTTTAAACCTTCTAAATTTTATAATCTATTTAAAATATAATCATATTTTTTCCTAATCTTCTTGAATTTCATTATATTTTGTAAGACTATTTAATTCGCAAGACATTATTATTGTAATAAATTTAATTTAATTTAATTTTAATTCTAAAATTAGATTATACTTAATATTTTTATAAACTGAAAACATGAATATTTAGAGCAAATGCTTAATAATGTTAACATAGGCATATGAAGTAAATAAAATAAATTCCCCATGAAACAAAAACATAGCCCACATAACATAATGATACAATTGATTTATGATGTGGTACGTGCGTATTTAGTGACGTTGGAGCCAACCAATTTACCATTAACAAATATTCTATATAGTTAAAATTAAAGTAAGTGGCACAAATCGTAAATAATATGTATGAACAATGTTATTTTTAATATATATAAGTTTTAACAGGATAAATATTAATAAAAAGTGTGGTCAACTCATTATTTTGAGAAATGTTCTTTGTAAAAAAAAAAGTTCTTCAGTCTAGTAATTTGATTAAGTACCACATATCTTTTCGGATAAGTAATGGAATTTTTTTCCCAGGTTACATTATATGAATCCCCAATCAATTTGTTAGTTTTATGTTCTCATTTCTATCATCCTCTAATTGTATATATATTTTGATAACAATCTCAAGCATTTATTTTATTTGTTGACTTTGTTTATTTTAAAACGTAAACTAAGGGATATACGACGTAGATACTTTTACAAAACAGAGAAAAGTATGTACTACTATTCAACGTATGAAACAAGTATTTAATTAGTGAACTAACTATAAATAAAGATGTGCGGCAACAACGTGTTTGCTTGTGGCATTTTTTTGTCTTAAGAAAATGTCATAACCTAAGGTTCTTTCATTTTCTTCCTCATTGTTCTCTGCTCGAATATAACTTACAAGGTATAAGTTCCGTGTTGACTTTTGTCTTTAAGCCACAATGGAAGGGAAAAAACCAGCAAGATCATTAAGCGAACACCTAGCTCTACCACCTCCACCATCTCCTGCTGTAGCTGTAGCTATTAATGGAAAGAAGAAGAGCAAATACGTAGCCTTTTGGGCTCTTGAGAAGTTCATCCCTGAAGGCTTCTCTGAATTCAAATTGATCTATGTTCGTCCTCCTGTCACTTACATCCCTACCCCAAGTAAGTTGTAACTAAAAGATTTTTTTATAGATAATATTGCAAAAGATCTTTGTGTTTGGCAACAAAGATTTAAGTCTTTCTTATTCGGTTTCAGTGGGGAATGCGATTTCTATATCAGAGTTAAGAGCTGATGTAGTATCAGCTTACAGACAAGAAGTGGATTGGAACACAAACGAGATACTTCGTCCTTACAAGAAAATGTTTGATAGGAGAAAGGTTTGGTCTCAAGACTTTCCTTTCTTGTTCTGTTTTCTCAAAATTCTTAAAAAGTATCCCAAATGGTATAACATAGGTGCGAGTAGAGATTCTGGTGCTGGAATCAAACGATCCTGTAGCTGCAATAGCAGAAGAGATTGCTGGAACCAGAGTCACCAAACTCGTTATAGGAATGTCTCTTCGCGGATTCTTTTCTAGAAAGATCGATATGTCTTCTATGATCGCTACTGCTGTCCCAAGATTTTGTACAGTCTATGTAGTCTCAAAGGGGAAGCTAGCATCCGTGCGTCCTTCCGATTCGGACGCTAGCGGAACGATAAGGTTCGAGAGAATGGAGAGAGACAGTTCCACGAGTGGCTCCACTGATAGTCCTAGTCCTAGAGTCCCCTCTGGTAAACTTTTACATTGACTCGAAAAGAGTCTTGTAAATGTCGATTATTGTTTTAAGTTGGAAGTCTAAGAAACTTAATCGTTATTTAATTGGTCTTCTGAAACAGATTTCCAAGACTTTCACTCGTTTGTTTCGGAAGCGCAATCACGAGTCTCTCTTGTTTCCACTGCCTCAAAACATTCGGAGATGAGCAGCAATGGCAGCGCGGTGGTTCAAATGGATATGAGTTCTTGCGGGACGGACATGTCGGAAACGTCCACAGCGAGAGCGATGCAGATTGTACCAAGGGGTGGTAGTGAAGAGAAGAAGAGTAACACTAGCAATGAGAGCTTTAGTGCATCGTTTCCAATGGGAGCGGAGGCGTATCACGCGATGAACTTTGCTTCTAAATGGAGAGATCATGAGGAAAGGAGATCGATCATGAGCTCGTCATCGAGCAACAATCATGAGGCAGCAAATATGGATTGGGGAGCAGTTGTGCCTGAAAACTATTCTTGGGTTTCTCATCAAGCTTCTAACAACATGTCTGAGGGCCTCCTCAGTGTCCATTCCGCGACCGATAATAATCAGGTAAGTTAAACTGTCTTGGTACTTGATTCTGTTTTCTCTAGAGAGCCAGAGTCTAGAGTCATCTGACGCAGAGCCATCAAACTGTTTTGATCTTGATTCTATTTCTAAGGAGAGACAAAACATACTTTTTTGTTTGGAACTGAAGTTAGATTTTGTGTTGCTTCTGAAAATGACTTCAATCTTGATACTAATAAAATGTCATATTTGCAGGATTAGAAAAACCTTTTAACTAAATAAGGAAGTTTTCCTAAAGAGAAAAGCAATATCGAATTTTGAGACTATATAAGTACGGGTGTAAAAGGTTTTAAGTTATTCGTTCATGTAATCAATATAGAAACCCTAAAAACATGTAAATGCCTTAAGCGATTTTCTTTCTAAGTTTTCTTATTTTCATCGAGTTTGATTTGCATTTGTTCATAACAAACTGTGTAGGTGAATCTAACATTTGAGATAGAGAAGCTGAGAGCCGAGCTGAAACATGTTCAGGAGATGTATGCTATGGCTCAAACCGAGACTGTTGATGCCTCTCAGAAGGTTTTAGTTTAAACTTTTGAACCGAATACACCGTGGCATTTTTCGTTTTATGTTACATTATGTGTTCTTTTTTTGGGTTTTGGCTGCAGCTAACTGAGCTAAACCAGCGAAAATATGAGGAGTCAGAGAAGCTTATGGAGCTGAAAGAAAAGGAAGAAGAAGCTAAAGATTCAGCTTCAAAGGAGAAACAGAGGTATGAAGAGACGATGAAAGAGGCAGAGAAGGTTAAAGAACTCATGATGAAAGAGGCTTTACGTAGAAGAGAAGCTGAGATCAAAGCAGAACGTGATGCTAAAGAGAAAGATAAGCTCCAGGCTTCTCTCATCTCTCCAGGGCTCCAATACCAACACTACTCCTGGGAGGAGATAACAGCCGCGACTTCAAACTTCTCTGAAGACCTTAAGATCGGAATGGGAGCATATGGAACCGTTTACAAATGCACTCTGCATCATACGACCGGTGCTGTCAAGGTTCTTCATGCAGGAGAAACTCAGCTCTCTAAACAGTTTGATCAAGAGGTCAGTTTTCTAGTTGCATTAAATAGGGCCGGTCATGAGCATAGCACGATAAACATTTGTCATGGCTCCCAAAATTTAACGAGCATATATACATAAGTTTGACTGCGCCTAAATTATACTCTCTCTGTTTCTTAATAGATGTCATTTTAGCATTGTGCACATAGATTAAGAAAATATTTAATTTCTTACATTTTCTAAATAAAAACATCATTAATTATTTACCTAACACGATTCAGCCAATAATAGAATAGAGGATAAAATAACATTAGTCATTTTACATTAACTTTTAATCAATTTACATAGAAAATTGAAAACGTCATATATTTTTGAACAAAAAATTTCTCCTAAAACATTAAGATTTAAGAAACGGAGGGACTATAAAAATTTTACTAAAATGTTTATGGCCCTCTCAAAATCTCAGGGCCGACTCTAATAAATAATTTTCTGTCTTACTTCATTACTCAGTTTCCTTTTTGTTTACCAAAAACTTACCAACAAGAGTCTAAATTTTTTTATGTATTTATGTTTTGACAGCTTGAGATCTTGAGCAAGATCAGACATCCTCATCTTGTCCTCCTCCTCGGGGCATGTCCCGAACGAGGCTGCTTGGTTTATGAGTACATGGACAATGGAAGCTTAGATGACCGTTTAATGCAAGTCAACGACACACCTGCTATCCCTTGGTTCGAACGTTTCAGGATAGCTTTAGAAGTCGCTTCAGCTCTAGTCTTCCTCCACAAGTCCAAGCCTAGACCAATCATTCACCGTGACCTCAAACCAGGAAACATCTTGCTTGACCACAACTTCGTCAGCAAACTAGGCGACGTTGGTCTCTCCACGATGGTTAACCAAGACGACGCTGCTTCTAAACTAACCGTTTTCAAGAAAACAAGTCCCGTGGGAACGTTATGTTACATCGACCCTGAGTATCAACGGACAGGGATCATCTCACCTAAGTCCGATGTGTATTCACTAGGGATTGTGATTCTGCAGCTGATAACAGCCAAACCAGCCATAGCTATTACTCATATGGTTGAAGAAGCTATTGGAGACGATGCTGAGTTTATGGCATTGTTGGATGTGAAAGCTGGAACGTGGCCTATTAGTGAGACTCGTGAGTTAGCTGCTTTGGGACTGTGTTGTACGGAAATGAGACGCAGAGACAGACCAGACCTAAAAGATCAGATCATCCCTACTTTGGAACGGCTTTGGAAAGTCGTTGAAAAGGCTCAAAACTCTGTCGGGAGAACACCGTCTGGTCCTCCATCTCATTTCATTTGTCCACTTCTCAAGGTTTGAAAGTTATTTGTTACTTGCATGGCAAGAAAATTTGTGTATTAGTATTTAACCTAGTTTGAAAGTTATTTGTTACTTGCATGACAAGAAAAGTTTTTATTTGTCATAATTTAACCTAGTTTTCTTTGTGTTGATTAAAGGGAGACTAGGGAGTGATGAACGAGCCATGCGTGGCAGCAGATGGGTACACATATGATCGTGAAGCCATACTGGACTGGCTGAGAGAAAATGACACGTCCCCGGTGACAAACCTACCCTTGCCTAACAAGAACCTTCTTGCTAATTACACTCTCTACTCAGCAATCATGGAGTGGAAATCCAATAAACAATAATGAGAGAGATAAGTAAAATATGTTTCAATGATCTTTTTGTGTGTGTGTGTGTTTTCTCTATTCCTTTTTTGTCTCTTGTGTGATGAGATGCCAGGTTAAAACAATAGAGATGAAGAGAGAAATGTCTTTTGTTTTGCTTTTGGGTCAAAAAGAAAAGAGATACGCCTTTTGATTTAATATTCTTGTGTTTCTCTATACTCTCGTTTGATAAAAGTAACTTTATTTTGAACCTCCTCAAGAAAAACTCCTGACTTATCATTTCATTATATCAAGTAAATGATTTGTCATTCTATGTTTTGCCAGAGAAAAATGAAGGGCTATAGCTCCAGGATTCTAAAGATAAATATATGTATATGCATATATTAATATTCAGTTGTGAAGTTCTTAATTTTATGAAAAATCTAATCAAAATATGTGCAGAAGATTTTTAAATTGGATTTCCTATAAAATTAAAAATCTCACAATTAAATATTTATATATATATATATATGTATTTTGAGAATCCGGAGCTAGAACCTCTCACTGAATCTAGAGGTACTTTAGTATACACTAATAAACTACAAATTCTATTTAAAGGAACTCATTTCAGACCATCTCCAAGGACGAATCCACACCTACACTATCATGTCAAACATAAAATCTCCACTAGGTTTATAATCATCATTGATAAAGTTAAAACTGTGTTAATCAAACGCACAATTCTAAGTTTTATTGTTCTTAACATCCGTAGAGCATCATTATCCTCTTAACTTATTAGTTAAAAATTAAGAAACAATTTTTTATATTTGCTTAGGAATCCCGTCCGAAGAAACTGTGGATAATGATGTTCCATTTTAGATTATCAGCACCTGTTATTTTGTCTAAGATTGAATACCCACTACCCAAGGCCATTTATTGAATAGAATAAATGCTAAAAGTACATATGTATGCTCTAACGGGAGAAGAAGGTGCACAACATCTAACTATATTAATAAATAATTTATAATCTCTTAAATTTATATATTTATTAATAATAAAATTTCAATTAATTTCAAAGGCTGTAAATCTCATCTAGGTGAAAGACTATGTATTTCTATTGCAAAGAAAAAATAGATTTAAGAAAAGACCTAAAATATTTTTCTATAATGAAATTGTTTATTGAAATAGTACGTCTATTTAAATTTAAGTTATTTTTAAAATTGTTAATCTTTATATAATAAGTAAATGTGTTTTTTGAAATGATGCGTTTATTCAAATATATAATATACATGTATCATTTAAAATAATTAGCTATAATTGGATAGTTGTGATTATTCAAAAAAATAACTAATTTTAAATTGAAAAGTTGTGAGTATTCACTATCTTTAATTTGAAAGTTGTGACTATTCATAAAATAACTAATTTTAACTTGAAAAATTATGACTATTCACTACCAATAATTTGAAAGTTATGATTATTCATTAAAATAACTAAGTTTAATTTGAAAATTGTAATTATTCATGTAGAACTTATTAAATCTATAAATAGTATATGTCCATGAGTTTTTCCAAGTAAATATTTCATTAATCTAAAAAATAGTGAAGAATAAAAGTTCTTTCTAACAAAACTATATTTCTGGTTATCTTTATTCCATGAATACATAATTCATGTCCTATAATATCATACATTTAGATTATATAAGAAAATTTGATAGCAACACTTACGTTAAATCCGTTATAATGATTGGATCAAATTTACAGTTGGCATAATTAACGTTTTATGCATGAATTGATAGTTTGCATGTATTTAGGAATTCTGATGTTTGATTAGAAAGTAAATAATTATGTTGCTTAAACATAGTATATTTTTTTAAGTATACATTCATAACCATGCATATAAGCACGACATCTGGAAGTGTTGAATTCTGGTATTTAATTTTTTGGAATTCTTTTTTTTTGTAAATATGGAAATATTGTTTGTTGTTAGTTTAAGGTTCTGTAAACTTTGACACATAAACGGACAAGTGCAATGGTTGTATAAGTTCTTGAAATTTGTTTCTCTTTTGTTCTCAAATTTTGCTGATAGTAGTGAACGAACTATTGCTTTGCCTTACAAATAAAGTTCATAAAAAATGTTTTACAAAAAATACATAAATGCGATTTATGGAATTTGTTCTTGTTCACATATGCATGCATTTTAACATTATGAAGAATGAAAAATGTTTTGCATGCATGCAGTTTAATACTCCAAAAAAATTTGCGATAGTTATAATTTGTTGGTGAAAAATCGTAGTTAATTCTGTGAAAAGTTACTTGATATATTATCTTTATGAAAATATACCATTTAAATTGTTCAAAGGTGACAAATAAAATAATGGTCATTAATGTCTTAATTATTTGATAAAAATATGGTTTATGAAAGAATTACAATGATTAATTAATAACTAATTATATGGTTAAGTGTTTCATATATTTTTAAGAATCCATGTAGTTAAATAATATTAATAAAACATCAATATTAATACGGGTAAAATTCATAATTATTGGGGAATCCAAAAACATGTAAAAATATGTGTCTTTGTATCCTTAAGAATTGAATTAATTTAAAAGAAATTATAAAAATATTTAAAGACATCATCCTAAAAATGCAATGATTTATAAGAAATTGTAGAAATATGTAAAGAGTGTTTTTTCATTATAAAAATTACATAAATTTTGAAGAGGTTGTAAAAATGTCTGAAGTGCATATTTTCATTCTAAAACTTGTGAATATTTTTAATTAATTGTCTTTCAGTTAGTTTATCTAATTTGTATGCATTTTGAAAAATCTTAAAATTTATCTTAAAATATTAAAGTAATTTGGTATGTTGAATATTTTAATTATTTATAATATTCTATTAACTTTATGGTTTTAATATTGTTGTTTAAATATTATATATATTTTTAATTCTTATTCGGTTTCAATCATTCAGTTTCAAATCAAATATTTTGAACTATTTTGACAATATTATTTATTAGTAGATAAGCACCAACAAAATGTAAACCTTGAATTTTTTTTATATATATGTTCACTTTCTAATTTGTGCATTATTTTGATATATGTCTTATTTATTTAGTAAATATCCAATTACACTTAAATGGATAATGATTGTTGGAAATTTAAGTAAATCTTTGTAACCATTTAAATGAACTATTGCAATTTTCTGGATGAATAGTTGCAACTGATTAAAATGAAACCTTGCAACTTTTTTATCAAACATTTAATTTTTTTGATGGTGAACCTTTGCAATATGTAAGGATGATATATTGCAACTGGTTGTAATTTTAGCATTGGATGATGAAGCGTTATAATTTCTATGGAATGCTATACCAAAACATACTTCTTCAAAAGATGTTAATACTTTGGAAAGTATAATTTAGATATTTAAACAACACTAAAGAGGTCTCCGTTTTTGGAAAGTAATTTAGATATTTAAACAACACTAAAGTATAAAGTATAATTTAGATATTTAATACTTTGGAAAGTAAAATTTAGTATATATAGCGTTTATTGGAAAAAAACTTGATCTTTTCGTAAGATAAATTAGAAAATCTGATATTTTTAATGCATAATTTCATCATGCACTGACATGTGATGAAAATTAAAGAGGTCTGAGATCTTATTTGTCTCTGTTTTTATAGAAATTACAGCTTTTATAAGGGTTAGTCCACATAATTAGGTGGAATATGAAGTTTTATTAAATTACTCATTAAAATATTAGAAACAATGCTCACCATGAAAATTATTTTAACGTACATTAATAAAAATGTATAATAATATTAGCTATTTTTAATCAAAATTAAAGAGCTTAAACTTCAATATATAGTATTTATCGAAAAACTAGATATTTTTTGAAGAGTTAACCCATAGATTTCAAAATAAATTAGAAAATTTGGTACTTTCCACACTCCAATTTTATATATATGTATGCTGAAATTATTTTTATGGTACATAGGTATCAATTCTAATTTTTCAGTGAGTAACTTATTTAAACTTCATATACCACCAGATAAGTGGACTAATCCCAATAAGAACTTTATTTTATGGAGAAAATGAAACACCTAGGTCTCAACCCTCTTTATTCTCCATACTATGTCAGTTCATGATGCAGAAATTCATTAAAACAAGAATACCACGTTTCTAGTTTATCTTGAAATATGTGGATCTAATCCCTACAAAAAGATCAAGTTTTTCGATAAATGTTAATATAGACCTCTTTAGTTTTGTTAAAAAACACCTAACCATATTCAAAATTTATACTAATGTAATAAACTTATGGTCATGGGACATGGATATAGGTTCTAATATTCAACCAAAGAATTTAATAAAACTCCATATACCACCAACATCAATTAACTAAACCCTATAAAATCTCTATTTTCTAGAAACATTTAGAAAAATAAGGTATCAAACTATTTGATATTCATCCAATATCAGTGTTGAATGCAGCTATGCATAAATATAAAAGTTTCATATTTTATCTTGGAATTTGTGGGTTAACAACCCCTACGAAAAATTGAGTTTTTTCGATAAATGCTAATTGTACTAGTTTAGGCTCTTTAGTGTTTTTATAATATCTAAACAAATTAAAAATTTATACTAATGTATCCTAAATTTATTTTCATGGTACAAGGGTATTAGTTATAATTTACCAATTAGTAATTTATTAATACTTCATATACCATATAAATCAAAGAACTAAACCCTATGAAATCTCTATATTTTAGAGAAATTGGGATAACAAAAGTGTCAGACATCCTTGATCCTCATCCTATATATGTGCTGGATGCATCTATGCATTAAAATAAAAGTACCATTTTTCTACATTATTTTGAAATCTATAGGTTAACCCATATAAAAAGATCAACTTTTCTGATAAATGTTATATACTTACTGAAGTTTCTGCTATTCATATTGCCTAAAACATACCTAATGACATTATACATTTATATTAATGTATGACAAACTTATTTTCATGGTACAAGGGCATCGTTTCTAATACTTTAATGGGTAATTTGATAAAACTTCATATTCCACCTAATTCAATGAACTAACTTCAATAAAATCTGTAATTTCTGAGGAAACGGGGACAATTAAGGTCTCAGGCCTCTTTAATTTTCATCACATGTAATTGCATGATGAATTTATGCATAGAAAATATCATATTTTCTAATTTATCTTGCGAAAAATAAAGCTTTTTCCAATAAATATTATATATACTAAAGTTTAGCCTCATTAATATTTTCTAAAATGCCTAACCATACTCTAATGCATACTAATGTATGCTAAACATATTTTCATGGTACATTGGCATAATTTCTAATTTTTCAAAGAGTAAGTTTTTTTAAAACTTTATATACGACCTAATTAGTGTACTAACCCCAATAAAATCTCTATTTTATAGAGAAATGAAAATACCTAAAGTCTCAAATATCTTTAATATTCACAATTTCACACTATGTAACTGCCTGATGACTCTATCTAGTAAAACAAAATTTTCATTTTTTCCTAATTTATCTAGAAATATGTGTATTAACCCCATCGAAAAGATTGAATTCTGATAGCCACACTATAAATTTATATATATGTATGCTAAACTTATTTTCATGATACATAGGCATCATTTCTAATTCTCCAATAAGTAATTTATATACACATCATATACCACCTAATAAGTAGACTAACCCTATAAAATTTTTTTTTTCTGGAGAAACGGAAACACCTAAGATCTCAAACTTCTTTATTCTACATACTATGTTATTGCATGATGCAACAATTCATTAAAATAAAAATAACATATTTTCTAATTTATCTTGAAATATGTGAACTTAACCTCTACAAATAGATCGAGTTTTTCGATAAATATGATATATAGACCTTTTTAGTTTTGTTTAAAAATATCTAATCACATTTAAATTATTTATTAGTGTAGATTATGGTCTTGGTACATGGACCTCAGGTCTAATTTTCAACCAAGGATTTTAATAAAAATCCATATACCACCAAAATCAATGAACTAAACCCTATAAAATCTATATTTTTTAGAACAATTTGGACAATTATGATATCAAAACTCTTTTATATTCATCCAATATCAGTGTTGAATGCAGATATGCATAAATGCAAAAATTTCATATTTTGTAATTTATCATGAAATCTGTGAGTTAAATTGAGTTTAGGCTATTTAGTGTTGTTTAAAATATCTAACCAAATAAAATATTTTTACCAATGTATGCTAATTTTATTTTCATGCTACGTGAGAATTATTTATAATTTTCAAGCGAGTAATTTAATAAAACTTCATATACCACATAAATAAAAGAACTAAACCCATAAAATATCTATATTTTAGAAAAATTGGGATAACAAAAGTGTCAGACATCCGTGATCTTCATCCTATATCTGTGCTGGATGCATCTATGCATTAAAAGAAAAGTACCATATTTTCTACTTTATTTTGTACATGGGAAAATTTCTAATTTTACAAATAGTATTTTGTTTAAACTTTAAATACGACCTAATTAGTGTACTAACCCCTATAAAATCTCAATTTTCTAGAGAAATAGAAACATCTAAAGTCTCAAACATTGTAATCTTTACACTATGTCAATGCATGATACAAATACGTATTAAAACAAAATTTTAATTTTTGTCTAATTTATTTTGAAATATGTGGGTTAACCCCTACGAAAAGATTGAATTTCGATAAGTAATATTTATACTATTTAGCCTCTTTAGTGTTGTTTAAAAATACCTAATTACACTAAAAATTTATATATATGTATGGTACACTTATTTTCATGGTACATGTGCTTCGTTTCTAATTTTTCAATGAGTTATTTATTTAAACATCATATACCACGTAATAAGTAGACTAACCCCTATAAAAAATATTTTCTGGAGAAACGGGAACAACTAGGGTCTGAAACCCTCTTTATTTTTCTATCCTATGTCAGTGCATGATGCATAAATTAATTAAATAAAAAATACCATATTTTCTAATTTATCTTGAAATATGTGAGTTTAACCTTCACAAAAAGATCAAAATTTCCGATAAATGTTATATAGACCTCTTTAGTTTAAAAAAAATACTTAACTACATTCAAAATTTATATTGATGTACTAAACTTATGGTCATGGTACCTCGGCACCAATTCTAGTTTTCAACCAAAGAATCTAATAAAACTCCATATACAACCAAAATCAGTAAACTAAACCCTATAAAATCTCTATTTTTCTAGAAAAATTTATACAACTAAGGTATCAAAAAATTTTATCGTCATAAACATTACACAAAACTGGTATAGGGAAAAGAAAGATTCTCCCTTGAGTTATTCATAAGAAGAAAAGAAGAAAACAAATAATAGATTTTGCCACATCAAGAAATCAGTAGTAGTAGTAGTAGTGAAATTTTTTTTGTAACTAACTGTAAGAGTTTTGATCATTGATTTAGAGTCTAAACCATCTCTGGTTTCTGCCACCACCGCCACGACGACCAAACCTATATTATAATCATTTTTTTCTATTATTACTCTGTATAGTTTGCTTTTCCCTATAACTCGAAACCAGATCTCCTGAGTAAAATCACTATTTAAACCACTCAACAAGCTTTCCACAACATTGGAGTGTAGAAATGTCCATAGCAAGTTCCAAAAGGGAAAACGAAAGATGTGTAACAAAGGAGAGCATCCAATATTCATCTTTATTTGTGGATTCTTACAATATTATTCTCATTTATAAATTTTCCACAAACCAATACATAAAAGGTAATCTTTAAATGAGCATAAGATATGGGAGTGGCCTCTAATACAGAAGAAGCTTTATTTTATGAAATTATTTTTAGAAAAATAAAAAACCTTTACGGTGCAGAAGAGTAAATGAAACTTCTGATGGAAGCAAACTCGTCACGGTCGTTCACGTCAGTAAAACGCTCCACCACATCAACTCCCTTCTCCTTCATCAACTTCGCCACATCTCTCTGCCTATCCACCAGCGGATCTCCTCTTACTCCAGTCACCATCACCTTCCATCCCGACCGTTTGATTTTCTCCATATTATCCGGTCCAGCTCCCACCGTCACATCCACGCCGAAGAAGGGACTCAGTAAGATCAATCCACGGATACTTAACGGAGTTAGATCTTTCTCGGTGAATCTAAGCCCGACGTTGTAAGCCACGTTACCACCAGTGCCTATCCCCATGAGGAAGACGTTAGAAAGATCGGCGTAAGATTTGAGCCACTCGTCTTCTTCGGAGTTGTTTTTTATCCACTCAAGCGCGTCCACCCCGTCGTCGTAAGCCTCCGGGAGTTTGTTCTTAGGAACTAGCCGGTGCGTAGCTGACGCAATAAGGTTGCAGCCGGCGTTGTAGACTGCAGAGTCGACGTTGTAGCTGATGAAACCTCCACTGTGGAAGTAGACAACGAGAGGGAGTTTTTTAGACGCAACGCCGCCGTTTAGTGCGGTAGCGGGGACGTAGAGACGCATCCATGATGACTTTGAGTGGTTCACGAGAATGTCTTTGGATTCGGCGTAAGGTGGCGGGGAGGGATCTTGAGATGATCCAGACATATCTGTTGTCTTTTTTGGGTTCAAAGTCTTGTGTTGTGTATGAAACTGATACTTACCCTTGTCCCCCTTTTATAGTGCAAATTTATGCAATATTATACTAATTATTTACGGTAGATACTCTATAAATTAATACTCGATAAATTAATATTTACTAAATATCTCTATAAATTAATATAATTTTATAGTCTCAAATTGAGTTTTTGGTTCACTTAGTATATCTATAAATTAATATCTCTCTAAATTAATAAAAAAACTAAAATTTTGGTGTAGTCCCACTGTATATACTATTAAGCACATAAGCATTTTTCTATCTACTTACACAATATCAAAGTTTAACCATTAGATTTAACTAACATTCTTAATATTAGCATTTATTAATTAATCATAGAATTTAAGTAATGTAACTGAGTTAGAGAAAGAATGAGACTAATGTGAATGATTTAACACAATTTATCTGATGGAATATTGTATTGTAACTGAATTAAAGAAAGAATGAAACTAACTACAAAACTAACGACAATGACATTGTTGAGGGGAGAAAACTTAGTCTTCTGTGCTTTCTCTATTTGTGCACTAAAATAAGAGATCTTTTATGAGTTCACAAGTCGTTGTCATGTCTCTTTAATTTTTGGAACTAATCAATTAAATTTATATTAACACTAAAATTAATGAACTAATCAGTTATTTATTATTTATTAATATAAACATTAATAGTGATATAACTTTGCATAATAAAGATAATCATTGCTCTAACCCAAAGTGCAAGAAAAAAATTCTTCCAAAACTCACATAAGATATGTAACAATGACATTTTTATGGTTAGATTATTAAGAATTTGATCAACATATGTGTTCTGGACAAAATAATTATTTAGAATTAATTAATATTAATATTTAATAATATGATAGAATGGGTTATTAATATTATAAACATTTTATGATTATAGTTTTTACAGGTCATTTTAACAAATAGAGAAAATATTTTATCAAGTATCAAATGAGTTAAATGAACATAATAAGTCATTTCTATTATATAAAATATCAAAATTAATTTGAACCAAATTACACTATTTCAATTTTAATCATTAAATAAAATAAAATATCAAAATTAATTTGAACCAAATTACACTATTTCAATTTTAATTATTAAATAAAATAAAATGAATTATGTACATATAAGTTTAGCGTGTTATGTGGGTTAATGTTTAAATATAAACAAAATAATATTTTCAATTTTTTAAAAATATAAAACTTATAAAAATTATAATTTAATAATTTTATTGAAATATTGTAATGTAACTGAATTAGAGAAAGAATGAGACTAATGTGAATGATTTAACACAATTTATCTGATGTAATATTGTATTGCAACTGAATTAAAGAAAGAATGAAACTAACTACAAAACTAATAACAATGACATTGTTGAGGGGAGAAAACTTAGTCTTATATGCTTTCTCTTTTTGTGCACTAAAACAAGAGATCTTTTATGAGTTCACAAGTCGTTGTCATGTCTCTTTAATTTTGGGAGCTAAATTAAATTTATATTAACACTAAAACTAATGAACTAATCAATAATTTATTATTTTTTAATATAAAAATTAATAGTGATATAACTTTGCATAATAAAGATAATCATTGCTCTAATCCAAAGTGCAAGAAAAATATTCTTTCAAAACTCTCATCAGATATGTAACAATGACATTTTTATGGTTAGATTATTAAGAATTTGATCAACATATGTGTACTGGACAAAATAATTATTTAGAATTATTTAATATTCATATTTAATAATATGATAGAATGGGTTATTAATATTATAAACATTTTATGATTATAGTTTTTACAGGTCATTTTAACAAATAGAGAAAATATTTTATCAAGTATCAAATGAGTTGAATGAACATAATAACTCATTTCTATTATATAAAATATCAAAATTAATTTGAACCAAATTACACTATTTCAGTTTTAATCATTAAATAAAATAAAATATCAAAATTAATTTGAACCAAATTACACTATTTCAATTTTAATCATTAAAAAAATAAAATGAATTATGTACATATAAGTTTAGCGTGTTATGTGGGTTAATGTTTAAATATAAAAAAAATAATATTTTCAATTTTTTAAAAATATACAACTTATAAAAATTATAATTTAATAAATTTCTTGAAATATTGTAATGTAACTGAATTAGAGAAAGAATGAGACTAATGTGAATGATTTAACACAATTTATCTGATGGAATATTGTATTGTAACTGAATAAAAGAAAGAATGAAACTAACTACAAAACTAATGACTATGACATTGTTGAGGGGAGAAAACTTAGTCTATTATGCTTTCTCTTTTTGTGCACTAAAACAAGAGATCTTTTATGAGTTCACAAGTCGTTGTCATGTCTCTTTAATTTTTGGAGCTAACCAATTAAATTTATATTTACACTAAAATTAATGAACTAATCAATAATTTATTATTTATTAATATAAACATTAATAGTGATATAACTTTGCATAATACAGATAATCATTTCTCTAACCCAAAGTGCAAGAAAAAAATTCTTTCAAAACTCTCATTAGATATGTAACAATGACATTTTTATGGTTAGATTATTAAGAATTTGATCAAAATATGTTTACTGGACAAAATAATTATTTAGAATTAATTAATATTAATATTTAATAATATGATAGAATGGGTTATTAATATTATAGATATTTTATGATTGTAGTTTTTACAGGTCATTTTAACAAATATGGAAAATATTTTATCAAGTATCAAATGAGTTGAATGAACATAATAAGTCATTTCTATTATATAAAATATCAAAATTAATTTGAACCCATTTACACTATTTCAATTTTAATCATTAAATAAAATAAAATGAATTATGTACATATAAGTTTAGCGTGTTATGTGGGTTAATGTTTAAATATAAAAAATAATATTTTAAATTTTTTTTTAAAATATAAAATTAAAGATTATAATTTATTAATTTATTGAAATATTTTAATGTAACTGAATTAGAGAAATAATGAGACTAATGTGAATGATTTAACACACTTTATCTGATGGAATATTGTATTGTAACTGAATTATAGAAAGAATGAAACTAACTACAAAACTAATGACAATGACATTGTTGAGGGGAGAAAACTTAGTCTTCTGTGCTTTCTCCTTTTGTGCACTAAAACAAGAGATCTTTTATGAGTTCACAAGTCGTTGTCATGTCTCTTTAATTTTTGGAACTAATCAATTAAATTTATATTAACACTAAAATTAATGAACTAATCAGTTATTTATTATTTATTAATATAAACATTAATAGTGATATAACTTTTCATAATAAATATAATCATTGCTCTAACCGAAAGTGCAAGAAAAAAATTCTTTCAAAACTCACATAAGATATGTAACAATGACATTTTTATGGTTGGATTAATCAACATATGTTTACTGGACAAATTAATTATTTAGAATTAATTAATATTAATATTTAATAATATTATAGAATGGGTTATTAATATTATAGACATTTTATGATTATAGTTTTTACAGGTCATTTTAACAAATAGAGGAAATATTTTATCAAGTATCAAATGAGTTAAATGAACATAATAATTCATTTCTATTATATAAAATATCAAAATTAATTTGAACCAAATTACACTATTTCAATTTTTATCATTAAATAAAATAAAATGAATTATGTACATATAAGTTTAGCGTGTTATGTGGGTTAATGTTTAAATATAAGCAAAATAATATTTTCAATTTTTTAAAAATATACAACTTATAAAAATTATAATTTAATAAATTTATTGAAATATTGTAATGTAACTGAATTAGAGAAAGAATGAGACTAATGTGAATGATTTAACACAATTTATCTGATGGAATATTGTATTGTAACTGAATTAAAGAAAGAATGAAACTAACAACAATGACATTGTGGAGGGGAGAGAACTTAGTCTTCTTTGCTTTCTCTTTTTGCACTAAAACAAGAGATCTTTTATGAGTTCACAAGTCTTTGTCATGTCTCTTTAATTCATTTGTTGAGAAGTCGCATAAAACTCAATGTCAAAACTAGTTTGAAATTTGGCAAAATCATATATTAGGAGGAACATATTAATAAAGCTTTAAATTTTAGAATCGTGTTTTTAAATTTAAACACACAGAAAAATTACCAGCTATACTAAAAAGAATAGATAAGTTGCAAAAATACATAACCTTAGGTAAGTAATTTTGCCTTTCAATGACTAGCCGAAACTTGCAAGATCAATTATGTCGCATCCTCTATATCACATAAATTTCACAAATATTCTACTGATCCGTTTACTGTTTTACCAAAATTGAAATTGATGGCAATTTAACTATAATTTAGAAAATTTATCATCATTATATTTCAAATTACACAAAACTGATATTGGAAAAAGAAAAAATCTCCTCTAGAGTTATTCATACGAAGAAAAGAAGAAAAAAATAAAGATATTAAATATATTATGATTAAGTTATGATAAAATTGATAACTTTCTAAGGATGGTCCAATTTTTTTATAAAAAAAATCACACATGAAAGAAGTCATGACTTCTATTTTAATAGTATAGACTAGATTTTGACCCGCGCTCTAAAAGCGCTTGATACGTTTTTGGTTAATTTTTCTAATTTAGGAATTACTTCCATTTTTTTTGTAATTTTAATATTTGAATTTTGACGCTTTTAATTAAAAGTAATTTATATTGTTGCCTTATAGTAATTCGGGTTGGATGTTTAGGTACCGTTACATTTTTGGATTGGTTTAGTTTGAGTAATATTAGATTGGATTTGTATTTATATTTTTTCGAGTTATTTTGGTTTAGGTGTTTAGGACCAATGTAAGAACCAAATATTTTCCGGATCAGTTCAATTCGAGTAATGTTGGATTCAATTTGCATTTATATTCTTTTTGTAAAACCTGAAATAAAACCGAATTATAAATAGTGTGAATTTGAGTCATGTTCA